AAGAATCTGTTAATTAAATTTGGACACATGTAAACTTTTTTGGAAAACTTAATTTGTTATCCCAAAAAAAGAAGAGTATCTATCATCTTTGGTTTGTTTTAGTAAAACATAAATATCTCATTCAAGAAACCTTCCAAATTTGTTCATGATTCATCCATTTGTTCATTACCGCAAAATATAGTACTCACCTTTTGAATTATGCGTTGCTCTTATCCTAATTAGGAAATTTTTTGTGAATGATAGAGCTTTCTATATGCTATGCAGACTATACACTAAAAATTCAGAATTAAATATACATCATCAAAGCTGAAAGAGATGGGGTGAGAAGAAAGGAGGAAAAGGCAAGAAAGCTAGGAGTATTAATGGCGAAGATTTTAGGGTGAAAATATTCAGAATATTCAAGTATGACCAGATTCTGTGATGAAAATATTCAGAATCTTGGATGCAAGATTCGGAATTAGTACAGGTACAGAATTAGTAGAAGTTTCAAGTATATGACAATTCAAGTATGCACAGATTCTGTATATATGCAACATTTTCAAAATTCAACCATGTACTTCTACTGACCTTCATTCAAGCTTATCACAACTGTATATGACATTCGATTGAACAATTAAAATTGCAGCAGCCAAATGGTAACTACGTAGGTGTAATTGCTATACAGAATGCTACATGTAGCTAAAGAAAATCTAGAATATTAGAAACTTGGTTTAAGTTCAAAAGTACTCTTAATTGGGAAATAAGATTGGAGACTACCCTCCAATCTTACTTATCACCACAATCAGTAACCTAATTCTAAAAACAAATAATTGAAGAAGAAAGAAAATAAATGAGATCTTCATTATAAAAAGTGATTGAAATGAAAGTCACATGAATTAGACAACTCATCGGAGTAATAAGTTTAGCATACGTAGTACGGAGTATAATTGAATGTACTGAGATCTGAAAAGCAAAATCTAGCAAGGATAACTGGAGTCAATAGCAAAAACACATAGATTCAATTTCTGTAAAAGGACAAAAAATGGAGTATTACAATGAAGTAGACACAAACTGAATTTAGAATACGTAATCCCAACTTCCCAAGTCCTATTTCAAACTAAATGAATTAAAACCCCAATTTAAATTAATTATGATTACGAATTGAATTGAAACATCCCAGAAAAGGCTTATCATAGCGTGATGGTGCGCTGTGTAAAAAAGGGAAAAACAAGAACAAAGGAAGAAGACGGACCTGGAGAAGTGTGAAGCTGCGGGAAAAATCGTCTGCCAACGGAACAACAAGGATTTATACGGCCAAGGGAGAGGAGTGCAGATGGCCGAGTCCACTGGAATTCCATAACTTCCTCTGGAGAGGAGAAGGATCGATGAGCTGAAATAAAAAAGGATAATAAATGCCAGAGTCTATGTTGCACGGATACGGATACGCCGATACGCGGATACGCGGATACGGGTACGGCGATACGGCACTTTCAAAAATTATAGGATACGGGTACGGGGGTATATTTATAAATAATAAAAATATAGGGTATAATTTGCAAATATATATAATCCAGGGGTTCATAAATAAAATAAAATAATAATAATAGTACAAACAATTAACTATTATAATAAAGTTTCAAAGATTAGTCTAAAAAACTAAAGTATTGATATTTTGATTTAAATTCAAATAATTTTTTTTGTTCTCTATTTGCATTTACATCCAAGTCTTGTTTCAATTAAATATCATCAAGCAATGAAATGTCAAATTATAGTATTCCATTATTTTTCATACTCCCGAAACCATCTTTATCAATGTTCCACATGTTGTGGTCGCTTGGTTGGCTACTAAATTTTCGTCATGTCGTGTATAAAATGAGGGGTTATAGGTTCAGATACGCGTATCGGTTCACGGATACGGGTATCGGAAGTATCGGTATTTTTAAAATTAAGCCCGATACTTTTATTAAATTACGGATACGGACCCAATACGTACAGGACGGGTATCGGTGAGTATCGGATACGGATACGTATCGGATACGCGGATACGGCATCGAAGTGAAGTATCGGTGCAACATAGGCCAGAGTTATGATCAACCGAAGGAAAAAAACTCACAAACAAATGCCTCAGAAGACGAAAGGACTGAGTTGGATGCGGACCAAGAGGGAGTTTGAGCGTGCATCAGCGAAGCGAGATCCCAGAAGCGAGATTCCATTGAACGGATGGTCTGCTGGACAGAGGAAAGGAATCCTGAATTGTGGATTGGAACCGCTGGGCCCGTTGGGCTCGAGAGGAAGACAAATACGGAATAGGCTGGTCGAATGTAAACTAACGGGCAATTAACGGGAGTGTTGGGGGTAACGGCAATGGAAGATGAAAGTTTACAACCATTTAAGCATTATGTACATATCAACCAAGCTTAGAATACCACCAACAAATTTTTAATACCCACAATACCCTAACCTCTATTCAAGCTTATTATATTGTAGAGATACAAGTATCACATTGTCTTAGAGGTAAATCTATCTTTCTCGAATTCAATTTCTTAAATAATACTCTCTCCTTATTTAAAAGTTTGTTACACTTACTTATTTACAATGTATTTAAAAGTTTGCTACAATTTCCCTTCTTGGTAAATTTTTCCTTCAAATATACTCTTTACTTTTTCTACATTTTATCTTTTATTTCAAATTTTGTTCTTGTGCATCGCACGGGTCATATACTAGTATAATAAATATAATCTTCTTGTGTTGCGGCTGTAACACAATAAATTGGGCCAAATACACGTGCGTGTGTGTGGCTGATTTGGTAGTAAAAATCAAAATCGTTAAATCCGCAAAAAATCGAGATTTCAAACGATATTGCCGTTTTTAGTGCAATTTTTTACAATTTTTTCAAATACTATTTTCCATACGATTTAAATCAATCTTGGTTTGGTGAATCGTAAAATCGTGTGATTTTACGAGTTGAATCGAGATTTTAACAACCCCATTATTACCTTTTCTCCGTCTTCTCATGCCCTTGAGCTAAAAATATTGACTCTAGATACTTAAAATCGAACTCGAGCGAAAGAACATACTTCTCAACCAGAACTCAAAACGGAAAAGGTATCTCGGCTATCTCTGAAGCAGGTGTGGGAGTGAAGGAAGCTCTCTCAGAAAGATCGTGTATGCGTTTATTTTAGAAGTCCAATTACCTTTTAGCCCAACTGTTTGGCTACCCATACTTGTAACAAATCAAACATCAACACTCAACAGTGCTTTTTCATAAGCGTCAATAAATAAATTCATCATTACAATAACAAGTCACTTACTAATTGACTTAGTGAGGACAAAATGCCGGTTTGCACCTATTGAAGATAAGATGCGGGAGTCACGCCTACGGTGGTTTGGTCATGTGCATAGAAGACCGAGTGATGCACCTGTCAGACGAGTTGAGATGTGTGGAGAAGAGGTAGGGAAGAGAGGGAGAGGAAGGCCCAAACACACGTGGGTTAGGGGAGTCAGAAGTGATATGCTTCTTCTTGGATTGGATGAGGGTATGGCTTTGGAGAGAGCAAAATGGAGGGCGGGTATTCGTGTTGAGGAGTGATCTTGTATCATCTTTTTTTTCTTCTTCTTCTTTTTTTTTCCTTTTCTTTTATATCTTTATCCTTATATATAAATATTACCTTATCCTTTTTATTTGATCTTTTATATGTATATTCATCTCTTTTATATTATCTTTTTTTTTTTATAATAGCTTATCTTTTTTATCTTTAGTTTCTTTCTTTTCCTTTTGGTGATAATGTGATATCATATATCGATTCATGTTAGCCGACCTCAATATCATTTGGGACTAAGGCTTGGTTGTTGTTGTTGTTGATATAAGATTTATCAGTTAGCTTTTTCACCAAAAACGCAATTTTTAATTTCGCGTGCTGAAATGTATAATAATAATAATGAGTTTAGAGTTTATTTTTCTGGCCGGATTGGTTGAAGTCACTATATATAATCATTTTAGATGTATTTTCATATAATTTTTCTTTATTTTACTAATTAAATACTACCTTCGTCCCAATTTGATGATACCATTGCGGTTTACGAAGTTTGACTGACGATAAAGCAAATTGATCCTTATCCGAACTCAAATTATTCTCGGTTTCCTTTTTGGGCCGTCCCAAAAAATTGTTCCACTTTCCCCTTTTGGAAAGTTTTTTGTGGCTACAATTCATTTACCTTTTTCTTACTCAACCACAACCATACATTTCCACTTTATTTCAACTTTCTTAAACTCCGTTCCAAGTCAATGCGAGAACAATTTTCCAGGACGGAGGGAGTACTTCGTAATAGAGTTAAATAACTCTAAACATGACTATAGATTCTGAAATAAAGATATGTTAAATTATCAATTTCTAAGTTTTTATTAAAAAATATAAACGATCAAAAAAAAGTTTTTATAAAAATATAAATACACTTTATAGAGAAGTGTTCAAAAAATGAGAACGGTTGCTTATTAATACGTAGTACGTAGTTAATACTGTAAAATACGGAATAATAAGTTACTTAAAATGTAAATAAAAGGAATAACAGAGTACCAAATACAAGAGAAAGTTACGAGAGAATTTACTCAATATAGGACTAAAAAGGTTTGAAAATTCTAAAATAGGGCTCTCATGTTTTTATTCCTAAAATAGGAATAATTACTGCCATGTTTTGACAGTACCAGCCTTCAAACATGACAATATTTTCCAAACTTGGCAGTAATTACTCCTATGTTGAGAATAAAAATCATGACAGTCCTATTTTGGAATTTTCAAACTGTTTTAGTCCTATTTCAGGAACTTTTTCAAGTTAGGAACCGATTCAAGGATATAATTGTCCGTCACGGACTCACGGTTCCACGGTTCCAAAGTAGGTGCGCAAAGAAATACGAAGTAATTAGGGTGCTCAAAGAAGATCATACCCAATTACGTAATTTCGACTAAACCCTAGTGTCCTCTGTATAAAGCCCTAGCCACTTCTTCTTGATTGTGTTTAGAATCGGTAGAGAAGAGGTTTCACGATGTCGAAGCGAGGTAAGCTGTGATCGCCTTTAAATGTGTAATTACTGTGTTACTTTTCTTTGTTTTATGTTTTTGGTGTCGTAAATTCTGTGGAATGTGATTTTAGGACGGGGAGGTTCCGCCGGAAACAAGTTCCGGATGTCGCTTGGTCTGCCGGTGGCGGCAACGGTGAACTGCGCCGACAACACCGGAGCGAAGAACTTGTATATCATCTCAGTGAAGGGAATCAAGGGTAGACTCAACAGGTTGCCCTCTGCTTGCGTGGGAGACATGGTCATGGCCACAGTGAAGAAGGGGAAACCTGATCTGAGGAAGAAGGTCATGCCTGCTGTCATCGTTCGTCAGCGCAAACCCTTTCGCCGAAAGGACGGTGTATTCATGTACTTCGAAGGTATGTTTCATCGAACCCCCTTCTAATTTGTTCTAAATGACAATTTGTTCTTAATGAATGTGATTGATTCAAGCGCGCTTTTCAGGCAGAATCCTGTTTTCGAATTGAATTGCTTTAGGCTTCTGATTCAGTGTGATTTCTAACGGCATCATGCAATGTTTTAATCTTTGTTTTTGCAATGTGAATATTTTTAGTGTTTTTCATCCCTTGGCCGTGATGATTGTTATTTTTTAGCAGCATCTTCATGCTCCTATCTGCAATTAATATATTCTTAGCATTTACATTTTAAGCAATGATTTTCCACAAGCTTGCCACCTCTCTCCTGATTTTTAGAATTCTTGTTTACACAGATAATGCTGGAGTTATTGTGAATCCAAAAGGAGAAATGAAAGGTAATACCTTACTTTTCAAGGAATGAAGGCTTATTAACACTAAAACCCCATAAACACATCATGGTTGATTAGAGTTGCCAAATCAACATGAAGTTCAATTTCTTATTTGTACAGCTACTAACCAAATACTTGGCATTTATATCCTTGCAGGGAGTGCCATTACAGGACCTATTGGAAAGGAATGTGCTGATCTTTGGCCTAGAATTGCCAGTGCTGCTAATGCTATTGTTTAGAGTAATTGTTTTGAGCTTTTGTTGTGTTTATTAAGATATATTAAGATTTCGAATGTTGTGGCTTTGCTTTAGCAATGTTCACTTTGCTATGATGTCCGAATTTTTGCGAAACTTTTTATTTGTGTTACAGTCTCCAACCTTTTTATCATGGTTTTTTAATTTATACGTCTGGTTTTCTCAATCAACTGTCTTATACGAGTTGGCTCTCTGCTAATGGTGTGTAAACCACTAATTTCTGCTGTGTTTGGTATGTGCAAAAGGGATAATGAAAATTTTAGTTGGTAAATATACATTTATTTCTATTGCTATTCGATAGATGGACAATCTTATCACTCTATTGAGAAACCAAAGCTAAGTTCGCAAAAACATAATTAACAAAATTAATATAGAAAATATAAGAAATGTGCGCAGAATGTTTGCTTGCGTTTAGCTTTAAGATATATTTATAAATATTAGATACCGAGCACGAAGTATTTGATATGTAAAAATCAAAGATGTAAAATCTAATACACTGACTGAGCTTGGTGTATTTGTTAAATGTTATTTTATTTAACTAACAGTGAACATGCCAAGTTTTTTGGTCACGTAACTGAGTTGGTCATTATTTGTGGGCACGGTTAGTGCTGATTAGGTACGATTATTTAAAGCGTTCAAGGATGCTTAATTATTTCTTCCTTTTAAAAAGGTCGCAATTTGCTGACATTCCAAAGTCGGACAAATTTCCAAAGTTTTGAGTATTGTTTTGGTTGTCTTTATTATTTCATTATAAGTGTAGATCTCTTTTTTGTTGCTTCCCCCTTCAAATATATCTCCACTCATTGCGCATCTTGAAATAAATATGGCAAAAGATGAAGTGTGGCTTTTGGTGATATAATGAACGGGTTCCAACTTCCAAGTTGAGAGACGACTAAATTTGATATATAAAAAACTGCAACTTGAGGGTTAAAAATTAAAATGGATATTAAAATGGATCAAATCTAAATTTGATTAAATTGACTAGTAAATTCCCACAGGAGTTTCTTGCATATTGTAGTGACTAGTGAGAGTTTCCACAGGAGTAATTGTGTCATAAACTTGCTGGCTTCCATTCACCTCAGTGTTGGGGATTATTTTGTATTGTTAAATCAAAACTTATCTCTCAACTGTTCTTCAAAAAGGACCAAGGATAACATAATCATAACATTTTAGTCTGCTGGTCAATTTGTAGAGTTTAGTGAGTTCGGTTCACTGTGGCAAACTTTGTAAATGCTACATAGTAATCATTCAAAAATAACTACATAGTAGTAGTTGTTTAATAAAATGCGTGTAAATTAGTTGATGTTATTTAGATCATCCATTTGCATTCAATTTACCCTGAAACACCTATATTGGATCCAGTGGTACATACTTTGCTCAAAAGCAGCATGATTTGAAACCTGCTACATAGGGAATTTGCATTTTTAGCTGGGTTGATGATCAGGAGTCAAGCTTCTTGTACTTCAAGGTTTTGGAACTTCTTTAGACTGTGTTTTAGGGTGTAAATTGAAGTTGGAGAGGTTTTTGACCAAAATTAGCTTCTTTGATTATTCAAACAACCTATAATATCGTTTGGCAAATGTTTCCCTTGACAAATGAGGAGACTAGCGTTTTGATTTAGCCGACCCCTTTAACCATTTATACCCTTCAATCACCAACAATGCTTGATGTACACTCTTATACCTACCTTATATTCATCATGTGTTAGTTTTTCCCGTAAGTTATGTTTTATTTAATTAATATTTCAATATTAATTATTCAGAAAAATAAAGTATATTTATTTAAAGGGAAAAACTAATCTGAAGTGGTCCATTTATTAGATAAAGATTACCCATAATTTCCCCCCAACTTATTAGCGAGAGAAGATCGGTAACTTCCCCACTTCTTTTGCCGCACGATTGGAGCTCTTTGATGGGAAGAACTCGATAAATACCAGCGGCTTTTGGATCTTGTTTTACCCCCTGAGTCTGCTCCTCACTATCAGTATACACACCTTCAAAATTGAGTGAAGAGAAGGGCTTGGAAGAGCAAAACAAGAAGGGCAGTTCACTATGTTCTTCAAGGAGATGGCTGGAGGTATGTAATTCCATATTTTGCTTCCGCTTATCATTGTATTGATTTGAATGTGTTCTGAGAGTATTTGACATGTTTAGATCAATCAGTTCTTTCATTGGTATCAGAGCATTGACTATTATCTATGCCTTTCCTTCGGTAATTTACGATTGATCATGCTTCATTCATTTATAATTGATTAATTAGAGAAATCTGAACATATATTCGATTATGTTTGATACTCTGTTTGATATTGTGTGAATTACGTTTGAGCATGATTGATTCATATGTAATTAATTGCAGCGGCTGATTTCATATTTAACCTTTGTTTGAACCCATTCCCAGATTTCATTCGTAGTATATATATTAATATATGAATTTTTGTATCCTGAGTTGAATGATAATCATTGGGTTAGAACCAGACTTTATATCTTGATTCACTGTCCATTTACAATCACTATTTGTGCTTCGATTTGTGCTTAAAGATAATCTCAAATCTGCTCTTTCCATGCCCATAAATTGTTTGGTTAATGTTTCAATTGTTTATAGTATAATGCATTTCGAAACCCACTTATTTTGCAATGGCGATCTCTCTTATATTTGTATTCCCATGATAAAGTTTAAGAATTTAATCCTGGGTGGAGATTATCCAGTTTGTACTGCTCGAATATGTTTCTTATAGTTTCTGATTCATTAGTGTTCCAGTTTGTTCTATTTGTTTAAATAATATGCTTATTCAGTTGAGAATTAACATTGGAACCAGAATGATTGTTACTCGTGATTGACAGTACTCGGTTCCTAATTCTGGGAATAACAGAACCAGAATATGCCTTTGTATAAAATGTTCAATCACTGGTTCAATCATGAGCACTATTTGATAATACTGCATTTCCCATGATTTTGATTGATAATAGTAATGTAACAGAAATGCTACATGTGATTCATAGTGTTCCAGAATGTTGCTTATTCATTTAGTTCAATAAAGTTTGGCTGGAAATCTGGAATTAAGATATTGTTTAATTAATTAAAGAATAGCCACATCATCTTTGATTAATTAAATTGTATTTTACGTTTGTGAATCACATTAATGCATTACTTGTAATTAATTATATGAAGTATATTGAAATCTGCCCACAGGAATTTCATTGTATTAGTATAACTAATTAGGATGAAATATTAGATTATTTTTCTCAAATTACCCACAGGAATTGAGAAAGGAAATATAATCTGATAGTTTTATCAAATTGTTTGCATTATGTGTCTAATTGAGTAAAACTTTAGCCCACAGGTAAGTTTTATGTCACTAGACTTATAGCTAATCATGTTATGCATTGGTAGAACATAAACTTCATTTTACCTCAAATATTAATAATGAGGAGAAAACTTCATGTCAGGCCGGCCTGACGGGCTGCCCCGTCCGGCCGAGCCCGTTTGGGCACCTTCCCGGTGGAATTTTTTGATGAAATTTTTTGAGCATGTTCCTCATCAAGTCTAGTTTGTCCATACCAAATTTCAGCTCAAAATTCGATCGGGAAGGTCGTCAAATGATTTTTGCAAGTTAACTGGTCCGGAATATGTATTTTCCGGACCAGTTAACTTGCAAAAATCATTTGACGACCTTCCCGATCGAATTTTGAGCTGAAATTTGGTATGGACAAACTAGACTTGATGAGGAACATGCTTAAAAAATTTCATCAAAAAATTCCACCGGGAAGGTGCCCAAACGGGCTCGGCCGGACGGGGCAGCCCGTCAGGCCGGCCTGATGAGAAGAGCCCTCTAATAATGAGCATGTATATATTATATTTTACAGTTGTTCAACTTGCGAATGTTTCTGATATGAAATGTGACATTCCCGAATTAAGGGGCGATAACTATAAGGTTTGGAAGGAGCGTGTTCTCCTTCATTTGGGCTGGATGGACATTGACTATGCAATAAGGAAAGACGAACCACCAGTTATAACGGCAACCAGCACTCCAGATGCAATTCATCTTTATGAAAAGTGGGAGAGATCTAACCGTCTCTCCGTAATGTTCATAAAGACCAAAATAGCTGCTGGTATCCGTGGTTCTGTCGACCAGCATACTAAAGTCAAGGACCTTTTTTAGGCTATTGATGAGCAATTTGCTACATCTGATAAGGCCATTGCCAGCACCTTAATCATTCAGTTCGCAACCATGAAGCTCACTGGGATAAGAGGCGTGCGTGAACACATCATGCGCATGAGGGACATAATGGCTCAGCTGAAAGCTTTAGAGGTGACCATGTCGGATGCTTTTCTGGTTCACTACATCCTTTACACTCTTCCACACCAATATGCTCCTTTTAAGATCTCCTACAACACACATAAGGAAAAATGGTCAATTAATGAGCTACTGACCATGTGTGTTCAGGAGGAGGAGAGGTTGATGATGGAAGAAGGTGAACGGGTGAACTTGACTGTTCATGAAAAGAAAAGGAAGGATCATGCCAAAGGTAAAGGCAGCATCCCTCCACAGGCAGTCATTAAGAAAGAGTCAAAGTGTTTCTTTTGCAAGAAAAAGGGACACATGAAGAAAGAATGCTCTAAATTCAAGAGCTGGCTCGAAAAGAAAAGTACTCCATTAGCTTTTGTGTTATGAATCTAATATGGTTAATATTAATCACAACACATGGTGGATTGATTTGGGTTCTACAATCCATGTTTCTAATACCTTGTGGGGTATGGAAAACCTAAGGAAACCAGTGGCAAGTGAACAATGTATCTATTCAGGAGGAAGAATAAGTTCACATGTTGAAGCCATTGGGACATGCAATTTAGTTTTAAGCAGCGATTTTATTTTACGATTGGAAAAGACCTTTTAAGGGCCTGTTTACTAACAGAGATATTTTCCTGTTTTCTACTTCTGTTTTTCGTTCTCCAATTTTCTGTTTTTATTTTTCAGTTTTTCTATCTCCAATTTTCTGTTTTTATTTTTTAGTTTTCCATTTTCAAATTTGAAAACATGTTCATCAATTTTTTTACACAGTTCTCCAATTCCACACCCTTGACCCCTACCTCTACCCTTACCACGATCTTACACTCTACCCATACTCCACCACAACCCTTCATACCCACCCATACCTACTTGTAGGGGTCGGGGTAGGGAAGTTTTGGATGGGGGTGGGGTATGGTCGGGGTGGGGTGGTAAGGTCTAGGGGTAGGGGGTAGGGTGGGGGTAGTGGGTGGGTTAGGGTCGTGGTTAGGGTTAAGGGTAAGGTAGGGGTAGGGAGTTGGGATAGGAT